CTGGAAGCGGCTGAAGGTTGGATGAGCGTGTTGGCCTCACATCAGTGCCTCCTCGCTTCCATGCGGACTGTGGGACGAGAGCGTGCTGTCTGCGGCCCATCCAAGTGCTAAGCATGCTCCAGCAAAGTGGGGACGCGGCAGCTGCATTAGTGTGTCAGTGAAGGGAGCCTCTTCCGTTCTCGCCTCCTCCTCTTGCTATGAGAAATTCTGTTTTGACTCAGAACAAAACAAAAACCAAACCAAATGTACAGAGCTTTTGGGTGTAGGATATAAAAATGTATTTAGACATTTAAAAAAATCAATGTATTTATTTGACTTCATTCCGTGTATCAAAAGCACATTTTAATTTTTTTTATTTGCTTATTGATCTAGCCCTTTGAATCTAGTGCACCCTGGATCCTATTGCTCCAAAACCAGAGTTCAGAGCTGAGAAAGGGGGAGGGATGTATTTGTGTCTTGATTTCACTGGATTGGACTCCATGCTCCCTGCTGGCAACCCAGCTGCCACACAGAGTTATTTAACAAGGTTTTCTGATGACCTTTGGCGGGAACGAGCTACATTCAACAGCCTGTGAATTGGTTCCGTTTGGAGCGAATGCCTGTTCTTCGTAGCTCATGTGCAATGAGAATTCTCCATGCACTAAATAGCCAGGCACTTGAAACTGACAAACCATTTTCCCCCCCTCAGTGGTCTCCTTGGGGAGAAGGAGATGGGTGGGCAGGAGGAAGGAGAAAGCTGGGTTTAATTTTTTTTTCTTGACTTTGTGGGCCTTGATAACGGGCTCTGATTTAAAACGATCAACAATATTTGGAGCTCCAGCACTTGTATAACTGTTCACTGGATCAAGCAGGAAAAAATGCAAACCCAGAAATGTGGGGCGGGAAAGGGTGTCTCACTATATCACTACTGAATGAACCTTGGCTGCCATGTTAGTCAGTCACAGGTACTGCTGATGATAGGGCCAGTAAATGTTAGTACCTGGAGATGTATCTTGCTGAGTTTCATGGCGGTGGGGGGTGTTTATGTTGTTGTTGTTGGTTTTTTTTTTTTTTTTTTTGCACTGATTGTACCAAAGTGCTCTCGGATTGGAACAGATAGGTGCATTGCAGAGAAGGAAGAACTGCTAGAACCGGACCCATTTCTCTAGCACTTCTCATAGGCCAATTCATTCCAGAGTGGGCAAAAGACTTAACACTGCAAAAATGCAAGCTGAGAACAGAACTAGCACTAGACACTCCAGACTGGTTATTGGTAGTGCCTGCCCTGAGACTGGTACTAGGGTGGGCACAACCTGCTAGGAGACAGATGGTTCAGGATTTTCCTAGCCTCACAAACGTCTGGAATCACAGCTACGTTAAAGTATGCACCGTACATTCATTCTTTCTTTCTGCAATAGGGGACCCAACTTTAAGACCATTTCACCAACCGGAACCGAATAACATGCCAGACCTATAAATCCTCTTGCCATGTGAATGCTGTAACAAGACAGTGTGCGTTACTGCATAGACCATGATGTGCTTGGAAGTATCTTTGGTCAGTGTAAAGGTCATTCTTCCTGCTCCATTTTCCCTGTAGCGAATGCCGGAGAATCAACATTGCTTTTCCACTCTTGTGAAGCAAAAGCCAATTGGGTGTGTGCTTTCTCTCAACAAAAGAGCTTCTCCAGGTTGATACTGGTTGAACAGAGAAGAGTTTGGATCCACTTCACAAACTGGGGCCATTGTAGAGCAGGGAGGATTCTCTCGTAGAAGTGAAGTGATGCTTGATGTTTCACCAGGAGGATCTCCATAAGCCCGGTGGTTTCTGTCTAGACTGGCAGAAGCATCCTCTGGTTAGTGCCACACTACGGAGTCCTGTGTTACACCCCTATCAACATACTCTCAGCATCCGTTAGGGGCTTCCAGGCTCAGACGGGCAGGAGGTCTGCACCCACCTGTATGGCTCGGTTCGTTTTAAACATCTAGGCTTGCTCTAATGAAGCCAGAAATTAAACTGCTGTAACAGATGGTGCCTGATACCATGCGGCATGTCCTTTTGCCTGATCCTGCCACAAAGATGTATTGATCCAGAGCCAGGCTTAGGTTTTGATGCCCTTTTCATGTTATGGCTATTGTTTCCTCCCCCTCGCCCTCTTCTCTCCATCGGCGTGGTGCACGTCTCTGACAAGGATGCACAGGAGATCGGATTTTCCCGCTCCAGGAATCGGAGCAGTTGCTGTAGCCCTACCATACTAGCCTGTATAATTCGTTTGCAGAGCAGTCCACAATCTGCTTGAGCCTAGATCCCCTCCTGCCTTTGGCTGCAGTGAATAAAGAGAGTTCAGATGCCTTGTCTGCACACAAGATTAAAGCCTGGTGAAGATGGAGCCTACGAGATCATCTTTGCCATTGTAACTTGAGACCAAGTCCTGAGATCACCAGCCTCTTAATAGGTGCAGGAATCTTAGTATTCATGACGCACAAAGAGCGCAGAGAGGAAAAACCTGTAATGCTGGCTTGGCTTAGGGTACAGTCTGCAATTCCATGGCCTTGGCTTGTCTGACTCCTCTGTCTTGCCTGCACTAGTACTTGGGGGTGGGGGAGACTCTCCTTCCACTCTGTGTGCGCGTGAGGGTGGGAGTGGAAGCTATCCCACCTTTCAGTGTTGGTGCAACTCCGCAGAAGGTGGCAACAGTGGAAGGGCTGGTAAGCCAGAGCATAGCTGTTCCCCTTACTGTGTCATCTAGACTTGCTCTCATGTTACTATGACTGGAGTTGCAGGGGGGAAGAGAGCTCCCTGAAAATGTTAGCTTAGCCATCGCCTTTGGCCCTGCAAGAGGGGAGGTGGGATGTTGCCTCTGCAGCCTCTCCAGACGGGTAAGGGGAAGGGTCCCAGTTCTCAGCTGTGGTAATGGTGGGAAACGAGGGAATCTTCAGGCTGATGGGAGTGGTAGAGAGGAGATATTGGGAATCTTCTTGAACTAGCAACGAAAGGCGCACTACGTAGAACCCAGCTTCCCGGGAAGTGATGGGTTGCGCTATGCCTACTCCTGCTTGCTTTTCCCATATTGATCAATCTCGTGTTAAGGGCATTATTCCTTGATTTCCCCAGCACGGTGACCTGAAATCACTGGGGATTCCACATCTACTGTATCGCAGGCTCCAGACGTGGTTCGTTTTGGAGTGGAGTTGCAGGGCTGAAGTTGAAATGCACTTTTCCATTTTCTCCTTTGTATTTGCTTTGTAGCCATGGGTTATCCCTTCCGTAAATTCCCCTTTGCAGCCTGGCTCGAGGTGATCTGGCCTGTGATTGTGAGTTCCCTTTTTGGATTGGGTAGCAGTCTCTGCTACGATTCCGTGCTTTTCTAAAAGAAAAGATGCCTCGGGGTTTTTCATCAGGAAAGGTTGCTACAGTGCACTCTGCAGTCCTTCTGAGGAGCGTGTTTATCTGGTGTTACGGGATCTCGTTTGTGGGGCTACAAAGAATTGGTTGTATGTGTTTGTAACGGTCCGAGGATCTTGCCCCACAAAAAGGGGCATGATACAGATGGCAATATTATTTAGGCAACATTTGCTCAGGTTTCTCTGTGTTGCTTTCTCTGTAGGGAGAGGAGATCCAAAAATTTCAGGGGCAGGAACAGAGAGGATGATTAGGTGTGAAACCCCAGGGTCTGAGTAATGTAGACACCCTGGTCAACTTCTACACTGCATCCCCCCGCCTTTTTCCAGTGTTTCCAACAGAAACACAACATCCATAAAACAGACCCTTAGAGTAACTAGGCCCCTTTGGGTGGAAGAGCTGTCTTGCCCAGGTGCCTATGTAGGTGAGCCCGGATTAGAGTCCGTGTTGATGGTAACTGATTTTGCCTTGCCTCCTCCACTCCCCCAAGAAATCCTTTTCTTTTCCAGGTGCCAACTGACAAGCAGATGTACTGCAAAAGGGATACTGCAGCCAACACACTGCTGTTTTTATTTTGAATTAAGTCTTTTGGAATTCTCTTCCGACTAGAATATTTTTATTTTCTTTGTACACCTTACAATCATGTACTCTTAACAGAGATTTACTTTAAAGAGAAGAAGAAAAAAGTCTGGAAATAGTCTTTAAAAATACAAAAAAAATCTTTATTAATAATCTTGTATTTTTACTGATCATGTTTGAATGTCTAAAGACTTTATTGTTCTAATTATCCAGATGTATGTTTGTAAAATAGCTCTTTTATGGCTTAGCGAATAAGGTTGTATGTTTCTGGAATTAAATATTGGTCATTTAAAATATTTCTGTTTTCAGGAGCTGGGAAATAGAAAATCTAAGCATTCAAATATCATTAAATAAGCTTAAAGGAACCAAGTCCTTAACTGGCTTTTTTTGTTTTGTTTTGGGGTTTTTTTAATTGCCCAGACCTTGGCAGGACAAACTGTTCCAAAGAGAGAACTT